ACTTGGAGGTTATAAGTAGAGTTATAAGTACCCTAAATGGAGTTACCCCGATAATAACCCTACTTATAACCGACTTACTAAGTCCCCTAGGCCTCTAAGTAAGGGCTGCTTTATAGGTTCCCTTGAAGGGTTCTAGAAGGGTAGCATTAGGGTTTGGGGTTTAAGGGCCCATGTATCCAAAATAGTATATACTTTGGCCCCTAAGTGCCTAAATAGGGATTTCTTTAAGGCCAAAGTATATTTACTAGTTGGGCACATGGACCCTTGGGGCTAGCATGCGCGAGCTGAATGCACCCTTCCAAGAGAAGTGACCCTAAACCCTAAACCCTAAACCCTAAACCCTAAACCCCCTGCAGGGCAGCAGTGGGAGATGGCAGTCGAGTTGTAACTCGGATCATGCACTGGAAACCCGGGTTTAGGGTTTAGGGTTTAGGGACCTGTTCCATTGTTTCTAGGGCTTGGTCTTGGATTTTTTGTAGTTGACATGCCTGAAAAAGAGCACGGTTCGAAGCTTAAGACTGCAACACCTCGCCCTGAGAATGTTGCAAGTTGAGGAGGCATTCAGCGGTCTCGAGCAAACTAACCCTTTAAAGAGCCTTGGCTCTGCTTGAAGTCAGCATCGGGGTCCGAGGTTTGCATCTTTGCCTCGTGCTCGGTTAATGCCGGACGATGTCAGTTACAACGCGGTGCTGGATTCCGTGCATGACAAAAGCCACTCGGCAACGCCCCAAAGCCCAAGGACTCTAAACTCCCTAAACCCTAACCCCCTTAAATCCTAAACCCTATTAAGCCTGAACCCTCAATCCTAAACCCCGGCCCTAAACCCCTAAACACCCTTAGATCCTAAACCCTAAACCCCAACCCTTAAACCCTAAAACCCCCAAGGGCCCCAATCCTTGTGGCGTTCGGCTCATCGGATGAAAGAAGTGGTCGGCAGCTAAGTATAGTTTAGGGTTCAGGGTTTAGGTTTCAGGGTTTAGGGTTTAGGGTGTAATTGTAGAGTTGTAGAATAACATACGCCAAAATCCAAGGTCGTCGGCAGCTAAGTATAGTTTAGGGTTTAGGGTTTAGAGTACAGGCTTTAGGCTCGAGGGTGTAATTGTAGAAGAACATACGCCACAATCCAAAGTCGTCGGCAGCTAAGTATAGTGTAGGGTTTAGGGTTTAGAGTACAGGCTTTAGGGTTTAGGGTGTAAATGTAAAATAACACACGCCAAAATCCAATTCTGTCATAAGTCCTTGGCGGAATTCCCCTAATCCTTTAAGACTTACATCCTAAACCCTAAACCCTAAACCCCTAAATCCTAAACCCCTAAACCCTAAACCCCTCAAGCCTGAACCCCAAAACCCTAAACCCCTAAACCCCCAAAGCCTGAACCCCTAAACCCCTAAACCCCTAACCCTAAACCCCTAAACCCTAAGCCCTAAACTCCTAAACCCCTAAACCCTAAACGCCCTAAACCCCTAAACTCAAGCCCAGAATCCCGACAAGCCGAAGCCCTGTGAGTTGAACCCCTACACCAGGACCCCCCCCATTGCCCTTTAATAGAGCCCTTATGGTCCCTAATAGTCGGCATTTGGGGTATAATAGAGGGTAGTTCCCTAAAACCCTAAAGCCCTAAACCCGAAACCCGAAACCCTAAACCCTAAACCCTCTCATCTGCTCTTCGCTTGAGGTTGTGGGCCGCTGCTCTTCGAGGAAGCCTTGCAGGCAGGAAAGGGTTTAGGGGTTTAGGGTTTAGGGTTTAGGGTTTAGGGTTTAGGGTTTAGGGTTTAGGGTTTAGGGTTTTAGGGTTTTTGGGGTTTTGGGTTTTAGGGTTTTGGGTTTTAGGGGTTTAGGGGTTTAGGGGTTTAGGGGTTTTGGGTTTTAGGGTTTTGGGGGTTTGGGGGTTTAGGGGTTTAGGGTTTTAGGGGTTTTGGGTTTTAGGGGTTTTAGGGGTTTGGGGGTTTAGGGGTTTTGGGCTTTTGGGATTAGGGGTTTTAGGGGTTTAGGGGTTTTGGGTTTAGGGGGTTTAGGGGTTTTGGGTTTTAGGGGTTTAGGGGCTTGCCAACTGAAGCGCGGCGCCTCGACCCAAGGGGGTCGTCCACGGCGCGTCGCGCGAAAGCTAAAACCCCACCCCAA